AAAGAAAAACTAAAGGAACAAAACAGCAGCAGAATCACAGAACCCACGAATGGACTAACAGTTACCAAAGGGAAAGGGACTGGGGAGGATGGGTGGGAAAGGAGGGATAAGGGTGGGAAAAAGAAAGGGGGCATTACAATTAGCATGTATAATGGGGAGGGGGTACGGGGTGGGCTCTACAACACAGAGAGGACAAGTGGTGATTTTACAGCATCTTACTACGCTGATGGACAGTGATTGTGAAGGGGTATGTGGGGGGGACTTGGTGAAAGGGGGAGTGTAGTAAACATAATGTTCTTCATGTAATTGTAGATTAATGATACCAAAATAAAAAATAAAAAAAGCAAATAAGTACAACTTTGGAGGACAAATATTATAAAACCAAATTCACCTGCAAGCTGGATTTTCTTAATTTAATATTCTCTATTCCTTTGTCTCTTCATGAGGGAAATGTAGAAAATTAGTATTTCCAACTATGTGTGTTTCAGGATGTATATGAAGGGAGGAGGTAAAGAGTACCACAGTAAAAAGTCATAATTTTATAAATTTTTTTCTAGGATGTGATTTCACACAGAACAAAGCTGAATAAGAAAAAAGGTGGAGAAATTCAAGTACTGAATAGCATCGACAACCAAGGAATCAAAAGTTTGAGTAAGGAGAGGCGAAAAACCCTGGAAACATATCAGCAGCTGTTTTATCTTTTACAGGTGATGATAACTTCTTTCTCTGAGTTTTGGATAAATACTGTGTTCCATGTTTGTGGATAACAATGGATCTTTTCCCGTGCTAAAACTATCATAGCTTATATGTTTTGATCATCTATTAAGTACCAAGTGATATGCTAGGTGCTTTATGTACATTATCTCATTTAATTCTTACTACAACCCTGAGAACCATCAGAAAATAATTATTATTGTTATTTCCATAGTACATAGGAGAAAATTGAGACACAGCCAGTACATGGTAAAGCAAAGTTACTGGGACACAGTCAGTTTAGAGCCCTTGCTTTTCGTGACTACATTATCCTACAGTTACCTACAGAAACAGTACAGATCAATAATAACATAAGCAGCTGCTGTCAACCATGAAAAATTAAAAGTAACTATGTGACAGACACTGAGAAATGACTGGTGGTTACCATGAGGGAGGGGTTAGGGTGGGTGGATCAGGGGTGAGGGGGATAAAGAGGACAAAAATTCTCAATCATAATGTAAGTTGGTCATGGGGATACTAGTACAGCATGGAGAATATAGTCAATGATTCTGTAACATCTCCTATGTTGACAGATAGTAATTGCACTAGTTGGGGTGAGAATTCAATAATATGGGTAACTGTTAAACCACTGTGTTGTATATTTGAAACCTATATAAGATTGTATATCAATGATACTTCAATTTTAAAAAATAGTAACTATGTGAAAAATAGATCTTTACCAGAACCAGCCAGCCCTTCTTTTGACAAAAGAGCCAGAGAGTTTGGATTAGGGAAATGAGGTATCTTTTTTCATGTCATTTTCAGGACATTACCATGCTCTAAATGAACAGTAATTTTCCATTGCTTCCAGAGTGTGGGTGAGAACTAATAAGTTGAACTGGTTATGGTTGGACTGTGGTGGACCACTTAATATTTTGTTTGATCATTGATTTACCACATCCACCCGACCAGCACATACAATTAATCTCAAAGGAAACTGAGTAAGTGATAGTGATAGAAATAAACAAGGCCTCCCTTTTGCCAGGAAAACTTTCCCTGAGGAGGTGGATCAGCAGTTCTCCTTTGAGAGTTACCTGTTCCCATATGAGGCCATTGGTGTTGGTGGTGATTCTGTCAAGGCCTAGAAATGCCTGGATCTTTGCCTGAGGACATTAAGTGTACAGCATGTTACCCAAACCATAAATGAGGTGTGGCTAGCCCCATTGAGAGAAGAGATGTTAATTTTGGTAGAGTTGAGCATTGGCTGCTTAGAATAATGGATTGCAGGACAGGTGTAGTGCTACAGATGGCCATGATGTGGCAGCATAGAACGAAAAATTTTAACACTTCAAATTGTCCACAGAATCCAGCGCATAATTAAACCAGCCACCTTTCAGAAAGAACTGGCTCACTCTAGGAAGGGAAGGGTTTGTCTACCTAAATTAGATGAGTAGTCAACCACCAGTTGGAAATTTAAGCTCAGGCATGTTTCATTTTTTGATATTCATGAACTTCCAAGTATATGAAGCTTCTTTAGGATTTAGTTTTCTAATATTAGATTTTGATAGAATTTGTGTCATAAGGAAAGTAAATACTCATTGGCCTAAGACTTGTACTGTTTACCCTTTTAAATAGGCGGAGGCTCATTAATGGAGAGGAGAAAAAGCACAAGAGCATGTTTAGAATAATTCCACTAAATTTTATTCCCTCAACAATCCAAAACTGACCCTGCCAAGACATGACCTTTAAGTTGTACTGAGTGAAGTTCTCTTGGAATCACATAGTTTTCTCTCCCTTTTCTTCTCTCTCTGTTGGAGACATCAGCCCAGGGTCAAGGAGGAAACTATAGGAAAGCAAACCATCCAGATTCCTTCGGCCTGGACTATGTCTCCGCAGGAATTCTTAGCCGTACCAGCAGTGCAACCTGTGTAGTTTTGCTTTGGGTTTTTCTGCTCGGTCTGAGCCTAAATTTAGTTGTCTTGCCTGAGAGGAATGAGAGTGGACTTCTTTCCTTTCTCATAATCCCACGGGCTTAGTGTGGGGAAAGAATCACCACCGAGCAGTGAGAAAAAAGTTGTCCCAAGCTGCTTATTCATAAAATTTCAGCCAGTCTTTATGAGCTTGAAAGTAAATCAAAGTAGTAAGGTAAACTAGAATTTGGGTTTTCTTTAAAACTAGAATTTGGGTTTTCTTTAAAAACTTCAAAGCCAAACTGCTTGAGTATATTAGGTGGACACAAGTTTCTGTGTGTGGAAATTTTTCTTTTCTCATCAGAAGGATTTTCAGATGAAGATGAAAAGGAGTATAAAAATTCTCTATATGAATACTTTCCTCTATGACCTCAAATCTATTTTTTTCCCTTCTAACTTCTACCTGGTTGGTGTAGCTCCTGGAGAAAGACCATATGACCCTGAAGACTGGAACTATGTCTCACGGACCTATCCACACCTAAGCTTGCAGGGCTCCGTGTCAATTTTTTAAAAATTCTTGTCAGTCTTCTAAGTTGTCTTTTTTTTTTTCTTGTCAGTTTCTTCTGGTATTTCCCCCACCAAGTATCCTGACCTCCACTCCTCTCTGAAGCTTCTTACCTTCCTACCTTTTTACTACCTATAAAACTCAAGGTCATCCCACTGTCTCCACATGAAAGCCTATCCTTTTCTTTTTCTTTCTAGTCTCGGAATATGAGACATGTTTCCTTCTCTTCATTCACCCATCCTAGGATAGTCTATTTAGCTGGGCCCTCAACCCATTCTTGCCAGTCTCCTTGATACCAGATTCTGTTGTCCATCCCCTCTCTCTTCTGTGTTTCTACAATGAATATTAGTATGTGGCTCAAAATAGTTAACAGTAATATAATTACATTTCATTAAACATATAGTATATAACATTTAAATCCTATTTGTAACTTTTAATATGTCTTCCTACAGTGTAGTATTAATATTAGTTGATACCTTCAAAGTCCTGTGTGCCAGATCCTTTTCTATGTGCTTTACACATATTAAGTCATTGAAGAACAGCAAATTGGGTGCTCCTCTCTGCTCTAATAACATATTAACAGATAGTTCTGTGATGATTTTTTCTTCTTCCCTCTTTCCTTTTTAGACCAATCCTTTATACCTGGCTAAGCTGATTTTCCAGATGCCACAGAACAAGTCAACTAAATTTATGGATACTGTTATTTTCACACTATACAATTATGCTTCTAATCAGCGAGAAGAGTATCTACTCCTCAAGCTTTTTAAGACTGCTCTGGAGGAAGAAGTTAAGTACGTATATAAATATATGTATAAAATTACCAATGAATGGATCCTTTTGTTAGTGGTGGCTATCTCTGATTTACTGAAATAATTTTAAAATTATTCATGTAAGTCATTTGTACTTATTAAAATATATCCAATTTCTTGAGAAATTTCTGCAGGTCTATAGATATGTTCAGGTACAACTTTCTACCACCAGTGATACCTTTCCTAGTACTAAGTTAACTTTTGATTTTGCAAGTATACAACAAGTGAAAATCAAAAGCTTTTTGAAAGTCAGTGAGAAATTTTAATCTAATTACAATCCGTGAGTAACAAAGCCATAAACATGAAAATAACTATCACTGAGGACATTAAGTGTACAGCATGTTACCCAAACCATAAATGAGGTGTGGCTAGCCCCATTGAGAGAAGAGATGTTAATTTTGGTAGAGTTGAGCATTGGCTGCTTAGAATAATGGATTGCAGGACAGGTGTAGTGCTACAGATGGCCATGATGTGGCAGCATAGAACGAAAAATTTTAACACTTCAAATTGTCCACAGAATCCAGCGCATAATTAAACCAGCCACCTTTCAGAAAGAACTGGCTCACTCTAGGAAGGGAAGGGTTTGTCTACCTAAATTAGATGAGTAGTCAACCACCAGTTGGAAATTTAAGCTCAGGCATGTTTCATTTTTTGATATTCATGAACTTCCAAGTATATGAAGCTTCTTTAGGATTTAGTTTTCTAATATTAGATTTTGATAGAATTTGTGTCATAAGGAAAGTAAATACTCATTGGCCTAAGACTTGTACTGTTTACCCTTTTAAATAGGCGGAGGCTCATTAATGGAGAGGAGAAAAAGCACAAGAGCATGTTTAGAATAATTCCACTAAATTTTATTCCCTCAACAATCCAAAACTGACCCTGCCAAGACATGACCTTTAAGTTGTACTGAGTGAAGTTCTCTTGGAATCACATAGTTTTCTCTCCCTTTTCTTCTCTCTCTGTTGGAGACATCAGCCCAGGGTCAAGGAGGAAACTATAGGAAAGCAAACCATCCAGATTCCTTCGGCCTGGACTATGTCTCCGCAGGAATTCTTAGCCGTACCAGCAGTGCAACCTGTGTAGTTTTGCTTTGGGTTTTTCTGCTCGGTCTGAGCCTAAATTTAGTTGTCTTGCCTGAGAGGAATGAGAGTGGACTTCTTTCCTTTCTCATAATCCCACGGGCTTAGTGTGGGGAAAGAATCACCACCGAGCAGTGAGAAAAAAGTTGTCCCAAGCTGCTTATTCATAAAATTTCAGCCAGTCTTTATGAGCTTGAAAGTAAATCAAAGTAGTAAGGTAAACTAGAATTTGGGTTTTCTTTAAAACTAGAATTTGGGTTTTCTTTAAAAACTTCAAAGCCAAACTGCTTGAGTATATTAGGTGGACACAAGTTTCTGTGTGTGGAAATTTTTCTTTTCTCATCAGAAGGATTTTCAGATGAAGATGAAAAGGAGTATAAAAATTCTCTATATGAATACTTTCCTCTATGACCTCAAATCTATTTTTTTCCCTTCTAACTTCTACCTGGTTGGTGTAGCTCCTGGAGAAAGACCATATGACCCTGAAGACTGGAACTATGTCTCACGGACTCTATCCACACCTAAGCTTGCAGGGCTCCGTGTCAATTTTTTAAAAATTCTTGTCAGTCTTCTAAGTTGTCTTTTTTTTTTTCTTGTCAGTTTCTTCTGGTATTTCCCCCACCAAGTATCCTGACCTCCACTCCTCTCTGAAGCTTCTTACCTTCCTACCTTTTTACTACCTATAAAACTCAAGGTCATCCCACTGTCTCCACATGAAAGCCTATCCTTTTCTTTTTCTTTCTAGTCTCGGAATATGAGACATGTTTCCTTCTCTTCATTCACCCATCCTAGGATAGTCTATTTAGCTGGGCCCTCAACCCATTCTTGCCAGTCTCCTTGATACCAGATTCTGTTGTCTATCCCCTCTCTCTTCTGTGTTTCTACAATGAATATTAGTATGTGGCTCAAAATAGTTAACAGTAATATAATTACATTTCATTAAACATATAGTATATAACATTTAAATACTATTTGTAACTTTTAATATGTCTTCCTACAGTGTAGTATTAATATTAGTTGATACCTTCAAAGTCCTGTGTGCCAGATCCTTTTCTATGTGCTTTATACATATTAAGTCATTGAAGAACAGCAAATTGGGTGCTCCTCTCTGCTCTAATAACATATTAACAGATAGTTCTGTGATGATTTTTTCTTCTTCCCTCTTTCCTTTTTAGACCAATCCTTTATACCTGGCTAAGCTGATTTTCCAGATGCCACAGAACAAGTCAACTAAATTTATGGATACTGTTATTTTCACACTATACAATTATGCTTCTAATCAGCGAGAAGAGTATCTACTCCTCAAGCTTTTTAAGACTGCTCTGGAGGAAGAAGTTAAGTACGTATATAAATATATGTATAAAATTACCAATGAACGGATCCTTTTGTTAGTGGTGGCTATCTCTGATTTACTGAAATAATTTTAAAATTATTCATGTAAGTCATTTGTACTTATTAAAATATATCCAATTTCTTGAGAAATTTCTGCAGGTCTATAGATATGTTCAGGTACAACTTTCTACCACCAGTGATACCTTTCCTAGTACTAAGTTAACTTTTGATTTTGCAAGTATACAACAAGTGAAAATCAAAAGCTTTTTGAAAGTCAGTGAGAAATTTTAATCTAATTACAATCCGTGAGTAACAAAGCCATAAACATGAAAATAACTATCTCTGCCAAACAGTCTTTCCTTCTTACTGGAACTGAAGCGCTTTTGCTAATTTATTTTCTGACTCAGCTAAAGTGAAAAAGGTGTAGGTAGCTATAATGAATGGGGAAAAAAAATGAGAAATGCCCTTAGCCAACTAGCTGGACCTTAACTGCCTTCCTGACTTCTTGATACCTTAAGCTATGCTAGTTCCTGTGGGTCTCCGAAGCATATTAGCGAGGCACCTCTGCCCCCCTCAGCGGTCTACAAGCCATCATGTGAAATAGGATTCATGAAAAATACTAATGCTACAAAGGAACAAAATAGTAGCAGACTCAGAGACTCCACGAAGGAACTACTGGTTACCAAAGGGGAGGGGTGTGGGAGGGCAGGTGAGGGAGGGAGAAGGAGATTGAGGGGTATTATGTTTAGTACACATGGTATGGGGGGTCACAGGGAAAACAGTATAGCACAGAGAAGGCAAATAGTGAATCTGTGGCATCTTACTACACTGATGGACAGCGCCTGCCTTGGGGTATGGGTGGAGACCTGATAATATGGGTTAATGTAGTAACCACATTGTTTTTTCATGTGAAACCTTCATAAGAGTGCATATCAATAATACGTCATAAAAAAATTTTTTAATAAAATTAAAATTAATAATACTGTAGCATCTTTCTGTGTTGAGTTGACATACTAACTACATTAGCTGGGGTAAGCTTTTAATAATGTAGATAATCGCTGACACTATATTATGTACTTGAAACCAACATAATATTGTATATCAACTATACTTCAATAAAAATAAATAATAAAAAAGAAGAAAAAGAAAAATACTAATGTTATGCAGTGGAATAAGGCAAGTATTAAATGAATGGTAGAGCATAACAGATCAGAGGGATGGGAAGACAAATTCAATTAGGTCAGTCAATAAAGATTTTATGGGAGAGGTGGTTAACCCAAAATGTTGAAGAACATCTACAATTTTTAAAGGAAGAAATGGAAAAGGGAAATAAGGCCCAAAGTGGGGGGCTATCTCTGATTTACTGTACAGGCCAAGGTGCAAGAAAGACAGTAGGCCTGTCTAGCCAAGACTGTGAGTTAGTCACCAGCAGGAGACAAGGCTGAAATGGCAGGAAGTGCCCAATTGGTAGACACGGAGTACAGCCCCAAGTGCCGAGGTGCAGTTTAATTTCTGTGCAGCTGTGAGAGGTTTTGAGCAGGGTATTTACATGGCCACACTAGGCCTTAAGAAGACTGATCATCCATGTCTGCACAAGATGAACTGGAGCTACACAGGTCAGAGAAATGTGGGAGGCAGAAGGAAGAAGAGATGCTTTGGATTTTCTAACACAGAGAGTTTAAGCTATAGGTGTAGAACGTATAGGTGAAAATATCCAACAGAAAAATGGAAATTCAAGACCAACTCTCAGGAAAGAGATCTGGTTTAGACACTGAGGTCAGAGGATAGGTTCCAAAGAGATGGTAACTGAAGTCATGCATGTGAATGAAGTCTGAGGGTAGATTGTGTAGAAAGACATAAAAAAGAGCAGATTAAAATGTGGGAAGAGAAGCCAGCAAAGGAAATAACAGGAATGACTAGATAAGATAAGGACTGTAATAGGGATTTTCCCTAAAGGGAAAGGAGATGGAAAAGTGAGAAAGTGGCCAAGGGGGAAGGTCAGAGCTGCACAGAGATGACAGGCAGGGGGAGGAGAGAGGAGGGCTTAGGAGTTGGCAATCAGAAGTCAAGAAGCGCTCTCTCAGCCATGTGATGTAGCTAGACACTGCACTGCAGTGAATTTGAGATTTGAAGAAGTGGAGATAGTTCATTCAATCAAGGGGCGCAGTACTTATACAGTGTTGCCCAGTATTATTATTAATCTTCGCCCATTTTCAGTTCATTCCTACCTTCTAGATTGAAATTAAGGCTGAGAACTTATTTTTAGATCCTTATATTTCTCAAGTAATACTCATCTTACAAATGGTTGTTTCCTTTTAAATCACACCATCTTTGATCTTCACAGAGGAAAATATAACCCCACCAAGCCCTAACCTGCCAGAGAATATACACTGTTTAGAACTCTATCCATAGAGGCAAACCATTTACTTTTGGTTTGGGCTTTTTGTAGATCAAAGGTGGACCAGGTACAGGACATAGTTACTGGGAACCCTACAGTCATCAAGATGGTCGTCAGCTTCAACAGAGGTGCCCGTGGACAGAACACGCTGCGCCAGCTCCTGGCTGCAGTGGTGAAAGAGATCATTGACGACAAGTCCCTGGTCATCAATACAAACCCCGTAGAGGTGTACAAGTCCTGGGTGAACCAGCTAGAAACACAGACTGGAGAGGCCAGGTAACAAAACCAAGAAGATGTTGGCTTTCAGTCATATTCTGTGATCATTTTTATATGTATATTTATATATATTCTTAAGCTCTGTTATGAGAACAATTTATTTACAAAGATAGTTTCCAATCCGAGGTATTTTCCCCCTTTACCATATTCCTGCGGGTCATACTCCTGAACTCTTGCTCATCTTGGTATTTTCACATTTGAGTACCAGTTGATCTCAAAGCCACGACTTCTGTAATTCTCTCTCTTGGTTATTATTTGTGTATTTATAAACTTAGAACTGGGAATGATACACACTTTCTCTTCACCTAATAATACATACCTTTTTACAGTTAACAAATGAGTAACTTCAATATGTAAGCATGAACAACCCAGGTAGAATTGGCTTATTCTAGGTGGTGGTTTATAGATCTAAGCAAATCAGCTTTTTATTTCCTATAAAAGGATGCCATGTGAAATAGTTAAATGCACAGAGAATTACAAGGGTGGTTGTCAACAGCACTGTTTATAATGGCAACAAGCTGGGGAATGTCAAAATATTAGCTCTGGGGAATTTGTTAAATAAATGTTTGTATAACACAATAGAGCAACTAAGTAACTATTAGGAATGCTAGTATAGAAATTATTTGGCATAAAAAGGTTGTTCATGATATAGTTTTCAGTTGCAGTTAGGTACAATAACCATTTTCTTTTAAAAAGGAAGTATGTATGTGTATATATGCACACACACAGGATCTGTATGGGATATGTATATACACAAACTGCATTACACCCCTGAGAACTGCATGTATCTCATACACACATGCACAGAGGAGGACCTAGAAAGTTATGCATAAGATATGAAAAGTGATTGTCCCTAGGTATTGTTTTCCTATTTGCTCATATACAGTTTTTTTCTGTAATAAACATACTGCTTTTTTAATAATTAAAGAAGAGAAAGAGCTGATGGACAGTGACTGCAATGGGGTCGGGGGGGGACTTGATGATATGGGTGAATGTAGTAACCGAGATGTTGCTCATGTGAAACCTTCGTAAGATTGTATATCAATGATACCTTAATAAAAAAAAAAAGAAGAGAAAGAAAGTTAGTTGGGTCTACATTATTTGGGTCTGCCAGTTATTTTGCCAGAAGAACCCAGAGGGAGACATGGATTCCCCTGTTCGACTAGTGGCAGAGGGTATGTGGGGGCACGCAGGGCCTCCCCTCACTTAGCAGATGTTTATCATTGAAGTCAGTAGACAGAGGCCAGTTCACAACACAAAGCTTGACTGTGGAACCAACTGGGCAAGGAACAGAATGCTTGAAGCTAAGCCCCTCATTGACTGAAAGCCCTTGTGTTTCCAGCAAGCTGCCTTACGATGTTACCACAGAACAAGCTCTAACATACCCAGAAGTGAAAAATAAACTGGAGGCATCCATTGAGAACCTGAGAAAGGTCACCGACAAAGTCCTGAATTCTATCATTTCTTCCCTTGATCTACTGCCGTAAGTTGTATATGGCACAACTTTAACATTCTTTGCTGGAAGTTCTTGAAATACTGTATGAAATGAACCCTAGTAGTGAAGATAGATTTCCCTCGTTGTGTTTACTATTTTAAAAGTTGCCTATATTTGCATTTTGAATTCACAGCTGTTCTCCCAAGAGGGAATATACAAAACAGTTCTCAGTTACTCTTGTGAGGGAGGTCCTGTGATTCCGTTACCATCTCATTTTATGTTTAATTTTTAGGAAAACTGCTCAGTTTTAGTTGACTGGAACAATTGCCAATTGTTTCTTTCTCACTTAGACTTTTTCCATTATTTTCTTTTGTCATCTGTTTTATGTGTAGTTATGGATTGAGGTATATAGCCAAAGTACTGAAGAATTCCATCCATGAGAAATTTCCCGATGCAACAGAAGATGAGCTATTAAAGGTAGATTTTCAAGGATAATCTCACCATAGCTTCTCTTGGGGATATGAGTCAAAATGACCAGCATACTATTTTGTAATATTTTCCCTCCTGTATGACTGTTCATAATAAGCTGCAGGTCATCTGTTTCTAATGACTGCCAAGGTTACTGATTATGCTGAGATTAATTTGGAGATCTTACACACTACTGAGATTATGTGAGAGCATTTTGGGGGCCATAAGCATATTTTTCACCAAAAATAATTTTCTGAATTTATCATATCCACTGCCTTTACTTAACTCCTTGTTAGAATTCAGATCAGAAAATGACCTACATTCTTGGGAAATGTCAGTAAATATTTACTTCAGTAAAAGAAATCTAAAACTCTTTTGAGTTTACTCTTAAACATACTCTTCTCTTCTGCATCACTCCAGATTGTTGGAAACCTCCTATACTATCGGTACATGAACCCAGCTATCGTGGCTCCTGACGGCTTTGACATCATAGACATGACAGCTGGAGGTCAGATAAATCCCGACCAAAGGAGGAACTTGGGATCAGTGGCCAAGGTTCTTCAGCACGCAGCCTCCAACAAGCTGTTTGAAGGAGAAAATGAGCATCTCTCATCAATGAACGATTATTTATCAGAGACATATGAGGAGTTCAGGTGAAATGAGTCTTTAATTTTGGAGAAACTTGCAAGACACGGGCAAAAATAATGTATGTTGTGTGCCCAGAGCCGGAGTTGAAGGGGGGGGACAGAGGCCTCCAGCGGCTGTGCGCATTTCATCTAGTCGTGGGGAAGGAGGGCAGAAAGAGCAGACCGGGTTACTCTGGTGTTCCCATCCTCCCCCCTCAACTCCCCGAGGGCCCTTCTTACACTGAGTCATCCCCATATGTATGATTTCTATTGACAAAGGAAATCTTTATTCTTCCTGGTATGCTACAGGCTAATAGTACTTAGAATTAAAAAATCAAAAGTAGCTGATTTCTGCTTTGTTGAACTTCAGAAGAGGGTTTCATTTTTGTTTTTTAAGAACTTACCCATCAGGAAGAAATGTCTTATCTGCATCAAACAATAGTAGGAAACAGTACTGGTTTTGAAAGGTTGGGAAAATCCAGCTTTTATATTTATTGAGATAACAATAAATTATATATGATAATGCTCTTTTACATTCTCGACCCTCTCAATTATACATGTAAGACTTACATCTATTGACTTTATATGCATTTCCAAATTATATCTCTGATCATTCCATGGCAACATGAAAAGGAATAAGCCTGGTAGGAAGATACACTTTCCTCTCTGAGGAAACACGTTCATCTTGGCATTCATTTTTTTCACTTAGTCTGCCATTCAATCACTGGGTGAATCACACTGAAGTGTGACATGAATGTGGCCTCTCTGACTCCTCACTTGGAAAATGATCATTTCCCCTCCCTCATTGTTCCTCTTGACTAGTAACTTATCTACTGACAAAAGTAGCTCATAGTTATTCCTCTCTATGTAGAATTTGTGGCCACTTATGAGAAAACTCCCAAATCCTCTTACTACAGGAAGTTTTGATTTCTCAAGCTGCCAATTTTAGGTCTTCTCACTGACTAAAAAGATAATATCCATTTCATGCAATCCCTCATCTGTTATTTGAACTTCCCTTTACTTACTTTTTTCTCAGGTTATTCCTATCAGTCATGTATGGTTCCAGCTCTTCTGCACCAAAAGAAATAAAACCAAAAGACTCCCCTCTTAAATTCATCTTTTTTTTTTCCTCTTCCACTCAGTTATCCTTTGTGTTCTTCAGCAACCCATGAAAAATTAAAGCCAAAAATGTGCAGGAAAACCAAGATGGGCACTTGCTCCTCCCTAGCACAGCATGGCTGCCTGCCTCAGCCTCCCCCAGCTTTGGCTGGTGTATAAGCCCTGGGCACCCTTAAGAGATACACCAAGGATGATTTCAGGCATATGAAACATTTATAACTTCATAGAATAAAATACCTACTCTATTGGTACAAAGGCTCTCTCTTAAACCATGATCAGAGCACATCTGGCATTTCTTGATCTCCCTGTCTAAATTTGCTCTCGTTTGAATAGCAGACTTCTTAGAATCTGAGCACTGGAGGAGCAGGGCATGTATGGATTTGTGTGCCTCACCTCAACTGACTTTCCGTCAGCCAGCAGCTATTATTTGGATCAACTGAGAGTAGAGTCGGTTTAACTCAACTTTCCATCAAATTGGCAATAATACCTCTGAAGAGTATTAGGACTGAAGGCCCAGGAGCTTATGCATTTAAAGTAGCAAATTTGATTAATTGCTTTTTCAGTTGTTTGATCTGGAAAGACTTGATCTTAGATGGAGGATTATCAGCCTTGACATTTTTGTTTAAATTTCAGGGGCTATTAGATTTTTTAAATGACCTGCCCATAATTTGATTACATTGAGCCACTAACAGGGCCTGAGACCCTGCTGCTCTTTCCATTCCTGAGGATCTGGGTCCAACATCCAGAAAAATGGACTCAGCGTCTCCAGTCAGGAGCCAGTCTCAAAGGTGATAACACCAGTCCTTCCGAGGTTAGGGGTGGAGAAGAACAAAGCACTGGCCATCACTGAAGATTTCCTCACTATTTTGATGGAGCTGTTTAACTCATAAATGTGACTCAGTCTTAAGACTTTTTTTCCTTTGTTAGGAAATATTTCAAAGAAGCATGTAATGTTCCTGAGGCAGAAGAAAAGTTTAATATGGATAAATACACAGATGTGGTGACAGTCAGCAAGCCGGTCATTTACATTTCAATTGAAGAAATCATCAGCACACATTCCGTAAGTGGGGCCACAGAAGGGGCTTAGCTGTGGACCCACGGTTCACTCGTCTGTTACACTGAAAATGCTCAAGTCTCTACAGGGCTTACTACCATAAGCAGGTGCTAATAATAACTTAAACTTTCAATCCTAAAAAAACCTCAATTATTTATTCCCTGATTCTTATTTCATAATAAAACTCATTTTCCCAAATGAGGAACATTTACTTTATATGATATGTTTATTCTCTACTAATATGCATTAGTAGAACAACTTCTCTTGAATGAGCCATTTACAGTCACATTTGAATGTGCAATTTAAGCCTTAAGCAGGGACAGGCCCTGATGCTTTCTCTACCCCGCAAGCCACACTGCCTAGACTGCCACACTCTTTCTCTCCTCCTTTCATGAGTTCTTCCAGCTTTTCCAGTAATTTTCTGGGAAATGAGAATACTCTCTCTATTCTAATATTGGGGAATAAACAGGCTGCTCAAGATTAGGAAGAGATGACATCCACCCAACAATAGCTGCTAGCAAAGACTCAGTTCTATGGTTTTGGAAACCTCCATTTCTTAGAAACAGGCAATTTCCCAATCTGTGCTAAATCGCGTTTCCATCTGTTTCACATGCAGACATCACCATCATTGGGCATTAGCAAGTATTAAGTGCCTGTTGGGGTTGGGGCACTTTGCTCAGCATTGAGAAGCCTTAGATGGTTTCTCAATCATTTAAAGTAAAAAGAGAGGCTAAACATTTAGAGTTGTTTCTTTGTTTTTTGTTTTGAAGACCAATTGGAATGTCTTTCCTGAAAAATCTACATTCTTAAAGGGAACCATTTCAAGAAGAGTTTTGGACCATGCTACTCTAAGCAAAGTCCTGGGGGACATATAAGAAATGTACCCAAGACCTCCCAAATCAGAACTTGCATTCTAACTAGATCCCAGGTGATACAGAAACACTAAAGGTCAAGAAGCTCTGGTTAAGGATACACCCAACTTTGGATTATACACACAACTAGGAGGAAAGCATAATAAACACACACCTCTTGATGGTCCTGCCTCACCCCCACCAAACCAGATATGTGGCAAAACTGGCTGTCCAAAATTCGAATCTATGTTTTTAAGATCTAAGAAACTAAAGCTTAAATACAGATTTGGAAGAAAGATTGGATCTAGTTTCAATTTCCGTTTTTGAGGGCTGGAACAGAAACCTCCATGACGTTTGCAGCAAGCTCTCCATAAGCATTTTGAGTGACCCCAAGAAAAGGGCAGGTGTGAATGACCAGCTGAAGGAGTGAGACAGTTGATTAAATGAAGAAGCTATAGTTCTTTTATTATATAAGCACCCAAAATCACAAAATATGTCCAGCAATGCACTGTTTGCAAAAATAATTTCCTAATGAGTGTAGACTCACTCATATTTAAGCAATGACCCATTTGTCTATTTTTATGTAGATTATCCATCTCAGAATTGTCCACATGTTGGCTGCACATTTGCTGAGGCCAGTATCCTCAGAAAAGTGCGCATGCAGAAAAGTGATATAGAGTTCTTTTCTATAATAAGAGCTTCTTTCCCAAATACAGCAGAGAAAAAATGTTACTATATTAATTTAGATACTTACTCTTTAAGGAGAAATAATCTGCTCCTTTCATTAGCAAGAGCTGAAAACAGAATCCAATCCTGGGAAACATAGCTTGTGACCAATTTGGAATTTCTTCATGTATTAGGTTGGAAGCAGATGTAAATAATGTGGGAATAATTTAATCATAGAGAAAGACTATCCTGTTTACTGTCTGTCTAAAGTGACAAGGTGTCCCACAGACACACAAGCATAGCAGCAGCATGACATGCCTGCCTGCCCAATGTGGAACCTCAAAGTAGCTCTTTATGGAGACAATTTCAAGAACTCTTCATGTTCTGTAATTATCATAAATACAGAATAAAGGGTAGAAGCTGGCAGCTTAAGTTTTCCCTTTCCAGAGACAGCAGCCCAATTAGCTGTCCTGTCTCTTCAGAGAACAAGAGCATAAATTTATCCATCTTGCTATTTTGTTCTTGTCTCTAACTTGCCTTCCCCTAAAAGTATCACATGTACCACCCTTCCAGATTTCACTGTCTTTATATCACTTCTGTTGCTTATGTAATATATTTAAGTCAATTTGCCTTTTTTTGAAAAAAAAGTAATTTCTTTGCTTTAGAACAAATGCCTCTATCCATAATAGATAGAAAAACATAAAAAGTAAGTAAGTATAATGAAAAGAATAGTTGGATATAGTTGCTTCCTTGAAGCTATGCATTTGAAGTCTCCTCTTCCTTTCTTAAAAACCTAATTAGCAAGTGTCAGGGAACGTTAAGAAATATTCCGCATTAAACAGATACTTTTTCCTCCACTAATTGTAAAGATTAAAAGAGAATGGAAAAGGCAGCAATCAAGACAATGTGGTAATGGCATGAGGACATACTGATCACTGGGATAGAACTGAGAGTCTAGACATAAACTTTCAAATTTATGGTTAATTCATTTTTGACAAGGGGCTAAGACAGTTCAATGGGAAATGAAGTCGGACACCTTACACAAAAATGAATCAAAGTGAATCACAGACCTAAATGTAAGAACTCAAACTATAGAATTCTTAAAAGAAAACATAGAAATCAATCTTTGTGACCTTGGATTAGGCAATGGTTTTTGAGATATGACACCAAACACATAAGCAGCAAAAGAAAATATAGATAAATTGGACTTCATAAAAGCTAAAACACATTTTTGCTATAATAATGCCACCAAGAAATTGAAAAGATGACCAAGAGAATGAGAGAAAATAATTGCAAATGATGTATCTGATAAGGGACTTGTATCCAGAATATATAAAGAAACATTATAACTCAGTGATAAATAATCCAATTAAAAAATGGACAACTTTGCATCAAAAGAACAAGAGAATAAAAAGGCAACCTACAGAATGGGAGAAAATAATTGCAAGTCATGTATCTGATGAGGGATTAATATCCAGAAAATATAAAGAACTTCTACAACTCAACAACAAAAGAACAACCCAATTAAAAAAATGAGGCTCTAAGGACTTGAGTAGACATTTCTCCAAAGATGATACACAAATGTCCAACAAGCACATGAAAAGATGCTCAACATCATTAACGATTAGGGAAATCCAAATAAAAACCACAATGATTTCACCTTGTTGTATAACAGAGACAGCCAGTAAACCTACCATTTGATTTGGGGAAAAAAACAATGGTAATACCATTATGATGGCTATTACCAAATAATGATAATAAGTGCTGGCAAAGATGTGGAGAAATTGGAACCTTTGTGTACTATTGGTGGTTATATAAAATGGTACAGCTGCTATGGAAAACAGCAAGGTAGTTCCCTGAAAACTTAAAAACAGAAATACCATGTCCAGCAATTCCACTTCTGAATATATTCTTAAAAGAATTAAAGGCAGGGTCAAAGAGATATTTGTACACCTGTATTCATAGCAGCATTATACAGTAGCCAAAATGTGGAAGCAACTAGTGTGTATCAAAGGATGAATGGATAAACAAAATGTGGTATACACATACAATGGAATATTATTCACCCATAAAAAGGAAGGAAATTCTGATTCATGCTACAAAATGATGAAACTTGAGGACATTTTTCTAAGTGAAGAAAGCTAGTCACAAAAAAAGACAAATACTGTATGATTTCACTTACATGAAGTAGCATAGTCAAATTCAGAGAGACAAAAAGTGTAATTATGAAATGAGGAGTTCTCTAATGGATAGTTTTAGTTTTACAATTTGAATAGATGAATTCTGGAGATAGATTGCACAAGGTGAATGGATTACTGAACTATAGACTTAAAAATGGTTAAGATAAGCCTAAACAGTTTTCTGCAGTGAAAATAAACCCACAGTAAAGACAGTAGAAAAATTACTCACCAAGCAAGTACAAAATTAAAACAAAAGTAGTAAAACTAACTGTACACAAAGTCAGTCAAGGGATACACAAAAAATGCAGATTATGACATCTAATACATAAAGTGTGGAGGAGGAAGAAGAAGAAAAAACTACTTTCAGATTGTGCTTAAAATAGAGCAGTCATCAACAATATAGACTATTATATAGTTAGGAAGCTATCCTTTAGCTAACCTAAAGCCTAGAGTAGATACACAAAAAATTCAGGGAAGCTATCCTTGAACCTTGAACCACAAACCTAAAGCCTATAATAGATACACAAAAAACTAAAAAAGAGAAATCCAATCACACCACTAAAGAAAACCATCAAAAACAAGAGAAGAAGAAAGGACCAGAGAGGAACTATAAAAACAACCAGAAAACAAAACCTCCATGACGTTTGCAGCAAGCTCTCCATAAGCATTTTGAGTGACCCCAAGAAAAGGGCAGGTGTGAATGACCAGCTGAAGGAGTGAGATAGTTGATTAAATGAAGAAGCTATAGTTCTTTTATTATATAAGCACCCAAAATCACAAAATATGTCCAGCAATGCACTGTTTGCAAAAATAATTTCCTAATGAGTGTAGACTCACTCATATTTAAACAATGACCCATTTGTCTATTTTTATGTAGATTATCCATCTCAGAATTGTCCACATGTTGGCTGCACATTTGCTGAGGCCAGTATCCTCATGCAGAAAAGTGATATAGAGTTCTTTTCTATAATGAGAGCTTCTTTCCCAAATACAGCAGAGAAAAAATGTTACTATATTAATTTAGATACTTACTCTTTAAGGAGAAATAATCTGCTCCTTTCATTAGCAAGAGCTGAAAACAGAATCCAATCCTGGGAAACATAGCTTGTGACCAATTTGGAATTTCTTCATGTATTAGGTTGGAAGCAGATGTAAATAATGTGGGAATAATTTAATCATAGAGAAAGACTATCCTGTTTACTGTCTGTCTAAAGTGACAAGGTGTCCCACAGACACACAAGCATAGCAGCAGCATGACATGCCTGCCTGCCCAATGTGGAACCTCAAAGTAGCTCTTTATGGAGACAAT